CATGATGCAGTGGTGGCTGCAGTGTTGCCAGTGGTTGCAGTAGCAATGGTAGCAGAGGCAGTGGGCCAAGCAGCCACTCTGCTGCAGCAGTGGCAGTGCAAGTGGAGGTGGGCCAAGCAGCTGTGGGACAAGTGGGGCAGTACTGGTACAGCCCGTGCACACACTTTACTGCTGACATGTCCAATGGGGCCTTGAGGTCCCAGCTTCTGCAGCAGCCCTTGCCTCCCTTGGTATCCCCAATCTCAAATTCTCTGGCCTGCTAATAGCCATATGCTTGATACCTCTCATGTAGAGTCTATTTAGTCTAGACTAGGGTGAGGAGAGGGGAGGTGAGATTTGATAAATCTTCAACTATAAGGAGGATTAGATATCAGGAAGAATTTTCTACCTCGAACAGGTTAAAGATGATAGAATCACTGTCATTAGAAGTTCTTAAATGCATGGTAGATGCACATTTTTCTGGGATGGGTTCCTAGGTAAAGATGATTCTCTGTTGAATGTGATAATTTCTCAAGTACCCTTCCAGCCCTATTTTCCTATGATTTTAAGCTTTGTATGCTAGATGATGACTTTAGTTCACATGCGTATAAGTCTTTGGTTTTACTCCGTATTTGCATAAGTATAGGGAAGCTCAACATTTGGCCCTAATGGGTTTTTTTAAATCTATTTTGTTGTATTCACTATGAAGACATTTTTAGAATATCCTAGGCACATTCAAAGGAAAATTACTAATACTTCTAAGCGATGTATGTGCCTTAGTGAGTAACAGTACTGTTATTGTGTCCCATTTCTCCTCGCCTCCTGACTTTTTCTATTTATGAGTCTCACTTGTGCTGAAGTTAAAGCGTAAACTCTTTGGGGCAGGCACTGTGTTCACACTTGTTTTTGAAAGAGGCAGAACATATTTTTTGGGTGCTCAGAAGTAATGTTCAGGTTCTGTGTTTGCAAAGAGGCTGTTTATTTAAAATCAAGTTCGATATTTGAAGATGATAAATTAGTAAGCATGTATTAACTATCTATTCACAATTGATTTTGTGTGAATTACAACTCTCAGCTAGTCCATTTCAGGATCGCCTGTGGCCTACCAAATAGCTTCCCTGTCATTATACAAATGGACTCTGAAACCTTGTTTTAAAATTAATCCTCTTGTATTGAGAGGAATAGGGAGTGTGGTGAACAGTGGTATATTAAATGCTCCTGAACTATCCACTGATTATAACCATAATGCTAGCCCACTTTTCCCCCTCCATTAGGACAGCAATGTTAAAAGGTGTTTATTCTTGTGTTGTATCCTCTATGTCTACCTAAAAACCAAGTTCCAGTCTTTAACTAGGACAAGTAATAATGTCTTACATGAATATAGCACCTTTCATCCTAAAGTGTTTTGTGAACCCTACAGAGTTTCTACTTCTAGCCCTAAAACACAACAACTCTGTAGCATCAGCTTTACTGTGAGGGATCTCCTGTGTTTAAATAGCGCTTTCCAGAGAAAGTCAGATAAATTCTGTTTGAAATCTAATGCTCCTAAGTGAAGAATCTCACATCCACAAGCCACATGTGTTGCATATTAAACTGTGCATGGCAATGTTAATTTGCAATGCCAAGGCAATTTTGCTACCCAGATTTCCTGGTAGCAAAAAACAAACAAACCCCAAACCCTGAAAAAGAATCTCAAAACATGCCGAAGTTGCATTTTCTAGGATAAACATGGAGACAAGGGAGCACAGAGACCCTGGGCTGCCTGCTCCCCATCTCTGTGTGCTGCAGACCACTGTGCTGAGCTGGCTGGGGAGCAGGGTGCCTTAAAAGAAGGAGCAGGCAGCCCAGCCATCTAGGCTGCCTGCTCCCCCTGTCTCCACACGCCACTTCCTGGATGGCTGGGGCACAAGGTACCTTGGTGCTGGGGCTGCCTGCTAGTTAGCCCCATGCTGAGGCAACCTGTGCCCCAGGACAGTGTGGAGTGCTTCCATAACACCCAATTAACAGTCCGTATCTGGGACTCCCTCTTTATCCCCAGTTTGTCAACTTTAGCCAGGGTGCTTAGTCACTACCCTTGTACTCTTTCACAGGCCTGTAGTTGGTCTCTAGTCCTGTAGTATCCATCCTTCTATGTACCCTTCTAAATTATTGGCACAACACTGGCTTTTTCCAGTTCTCTGGACTTTTCCAGTATTCAGTGCTGTACTAATAATTAGTGGTTTTTGTTCAGAAGACTACTATGCCAATTCCTGTTAATACTTTTACAAATGTACTATGTAGCCCTGCTTATTTAAAAACGTACTATTTAACATTGTCTTTAGCTGTTGATGGAAGAAATGTTTCATTATCACTGGAAGACATCAGTGTATCACCTTGCTTCTTTCCAATTACAGAACAGATCTATTGAATATTTTCTGCTTCATGACTGGCAATAGGACTGCTCCTTATCTGGCATCAGAGCTGTATCATTGCTGGATTTCATTTGATTTAAAGAATGTATTTATATTATCATTAATCTTACTGGCCAAAGATCTTTCCGTAGTAACTTTTTTTTCCCTTCAAAATTCTCTGTATTTCATGATTTTATTCATATATATCAATTTCTTATTTTTTCCATCTGTTATATATTGCTAATGTAATTCCCCATTAAAATAATGTACTTATAAGTCCATCCCTAAAATAATACAATACACAGTAATGTTTAAGCGAATAATCAATTGTTAAATAAAGTCTACAGATAAACAGTCTCCCATTGACTTAAAATGAGCATTGGACCAGGCCCTGAAAGGGGAGAGTATCTCACATGCAACACAACATCGCTTGCAGCATGGATGCTTTCTTTGGAGGTACTCCATTCAAGTATTAACACCATGCAGTACTGCCTCCCTTGTGATGGTGCCACAGCTCAGGCTCTCAGCATTTTTTGCCACTTGCAGAACTTTCCAGTACACCAAAACACATGCTGCTCTAATTGTGTATTCGTATTAGAGTAGCACCAAGAAACCCAAATCATGGACCAGAAGCCCAAATGTGTGTGAGGTACTATAAAAATATAGAACAAAATGATAGCCCTTGATTCAAAGATTTTGCTTGATATATCATTTAATTAAATGATGTTCAACAGGAAAGAGCAGAGAAACCTATTTATGTATATTACCATACCACAAAAAGAGGCAGAAATACTTTATTTTTGGTGCGAAAAATCTCTGTTCTATGCACTGCATCATACAGAAAAAAATCTTGAACCAAAATCCAGTAGTATATACTACAACAGATTGTTTTCCCTATGAACTGGGAATAAATGGATTCTTTCTCTGTCTTTGCTCTACAACTAAGCCTTCTGGGGCTGAATTCCATATCATTGTCCCAAGGAGGTAGGTCCTTCACTGATGAAACCCGTGTGAGTTTTTTTGCTAAAGTGACCAGTGACCTTAGGATTCTGGCCAGGCTACTGTACATTTCACTTATTGGAGAATAACTAGATATGTTGAAGATCACCAATGTTCAATGTAATTTGAAGTAAACTAAACTACAGAACAGAAAAAGATTCCTTCCTCAAGAGAAGATAATTAAACTAAGGGGGTAGGCAAAATATAAATTACCTTTACTACAGTCTGCCTTTACGTCACAGATGCTATCAGTTGTCCTTTTGATGTAAAATGTCTCAAGTATGTTACCTCTCAGGTCCATGTTCTTGGGGAACCCTGACATAGGGCGCAGACTGTCTGACTCACAAAGAATCCCCCCTCTCCCCTCCTCTACCTAAACAGAAACTGATTAAGATGCAGTGAGAGGCACACCTAAACCCCTCCAGATAAGGGTGACAAAAGTGAAACAACTGCCCTAGGTCTCATTTGCATCGGAGATGGGAACAGATGACCATTCATTTACATGAGAGATGGAGAACAGAAA